AACCCTCAACCTCTGAACCTCTAAACCTCTAAACCTCTAATACCCTAAACCCTAAACCCTAAACCTCTGAACCTCTAATACCCCAAACTCTAAACCTCTAAACCCTAAAACCTCTGAACCAGAAAACCCCAAACCGCAAGCCCTCGGATTCCAAGACGGGGCCACTGAGGGTTCAGGGTTTAGGGTCTAGGGTTTCGGGTTTAGGTTTACGGTTTAGGGTTTGGGAGTTTAAGGTTTAGGGCTTCTGGTTTAGGGTTTAAGGTTTGGGGTTTAGGGTTTAGGGTAGACTAAGCAAGAAGAGCAAGTGCAGCAGAGGGGAGTATGTACGACGTACAGACTCCCAAAAGCACGGACACGTTACATGGGAAGAGCGAGTTTAAAGTAACAAAACTGCCGGCACAAGGCGATCCACTCACACATGGTCGCCGGGTCCTGTGCAAATTTCCAGTGTGTGCAGCTTGTGTTGGTGCGCTGCCTCGAGTTCAGGGGAAGATTGACTCTCATCCTCATGAGTTGCTTTAGCCTTGACTGACAACGGCACCAAATAAAGTAGCCGCTTGTGATGCTGGAGACGTCGAAAACCATGTCGGGTATTTTTTAGCTCTGACGTCGTGAGAGTGAGCATCGGTCTCCAGGGTTCTCACTTCGTTGGCTAGAACAACCACTGAGACCCGTCCAGCAACTTCATGATGCTGCAAGCATCTCACTGTACCAGTACCAGCTATGCAGTAGCATCCTTCCTAGACCCGTGAAAGCCAAAAGCGGCTGGTGGAGGGTTGGCTGAACAGGCTCTCATGCTTCGGGAAACCTTTAGGGATGTTTCGGGAGTTGCATGTGCTGATTGTGTTCTGGGTACGACTGCAACAACAAACATAACCTGCGCAAAAACAAAGGGTGCACCAGAGGCCCTCTTTCCTTCTGCCGGTTTAGTTTGATAAGTATTCTTCGTATTAGTGGTATTATGACTACTAGGAACATTAATACTACAAGCAAGATTGCTGTGAGGGTTTAAGCCTAGGGCTTTGAGCTTTGGGCTTCTATGTGCTGACGGATCATCTCCAGACTGTTTGGGCTTGACAGCTAACTTGACACTTCCTCTCCCTGCGGCGTTTCGCCTCCCTTTTAAAAAAAGAAAAAGAATCCCCTTACAGACGCCCTTAACGACCCCTTGAAGCACCCCTTGAAAACGAAGAAGCCCCTTACAGACACCCCTAAACCCTAAACCCTGAACCCTAAACCCTAAACCCCAAACCTTAACGACCCCTTCAAGGACCCCCTTGGAAGGAACCCTCATGACCCCACCTGCTCTCCTTTCTGGCATTGCGCGAGCTTCAGGTGCTGAAAGCCATCACTCCGAGGCCTGGCAGCAAGCTCGGAATGAGGGTTTAGGGTTTAGGGTTTGGGGTTTAGGGTTTAGGGTTTAGGGTTTAGGGTTTGGGGTTTAGGGTTTAGCGTTCAGGGTTTAGGGTTTAAGGTTTGGGAATTGGAGTTTAGGGTTTAGGGTTTCAGCACAAGCGTGGGGGGTTCGCTTTCGGTTTCGGAGTGTTTAGGGGCTAGGTGTTCTTCATGGTCCATGTGTCTTTGTCAACCATGGTGACGGTTTAGGGGCGCTTGGAGTGCTGTTCGGATTTGGTGGAGTTTAGGATTCAGGATCAGGGTCGGGAGTTTAAGCCCATACAAACCCCTCGGAAAGACTCTGGGATTAAGAGCCCTGCACCTCAAAACCCGCAAAGAAGAGCCGCGCCCGAGTACGGCGGAGCGTCATCGTGCCCTCGAGCTTCCCATGACGAGCCTTGGCGGACTTCTTCTCGTCCTTCTCCTTGGCCTTCTTCGCCTTCTCCTTCTCCTTGGAAGGCTTCCAGATGCTGGGCCAACATCTGTAGGGAGAGGCGGTACGGAGAGCTCCGTGAAGCGGCTTGCTTTGCGCTTTCCGAAGCGTTGGTGGGCAGTTCTTTGAAGTCCAGAAACAAGAGGGAATCAAAACAGAAAAGCTCGAACAGCGTCAGCAGCATCCGTTAAAGACAACGCGATCAAGCAGTCTGGGGTCAGGAGCATGCATGTTTACGATACCCACTGAATGGGTGTGCGAAGGCTCTCAACCATGCAACTTCAAGTGCGGATGCTCTTGATACAGATACAGCATGCAGCAATCGAAGTTATTCATTCTAAACCTAAGCGAAACTTTCAAAGACATGACCCCGAGCATCAAGAGATTGCATGTTGGGGTGGCAGGGATAGACAAACAGATCAAGGATGTTGCATGATGTTGGGTTGCACTGCTCACCCCTGATTAACTCGTAGCTGGCATGGAGGTGCGCGAGGCGCTCCAACACGCGGTTCAACAGCTGGGCAAAGCGCACGAGAGATTCAAAAGCTGCTTTTTCCATGTGAAGCGTCCCGGTAAATGCCCTGTATGGCATATCCTGAAGCTGATCTGAAGTAGCACTCCGACAGCTTCTCGAACAAAACGCCCAGGTCAAACCTGGAGATCCCCATCACGTTGAAAACCGACTGCTCCCCTGGATCGGTCTTCAAGACTTCAAGCTGGCCAGCGACATTTTCACTCAAGGTAAGCATGGAGAAGGGGGAAATATATTGAGCAATTGTCACGTGCGTTCTCCTTGCGATTTGCGAAATTGTTCCCCTTTTCCCAGTATTGAGTTCTCGCGCGCTTTATGCGCGACGCCGTGGAATCCATGACTTCCCACGTAACCTCCATGCATTGGTCCATCATGGGTGTGGAGAACAACCCGAGGCTGTCCACGAAGCGCTCCTGTCCGGAACATGTCAAAACCTATCGCACTTTACCTCCCTACAACCCCGTCGACCCAGATGTTTCTGTGAAGAGATGATGGCTTGAACTCCCAAAGAGCAAGTGTAAGTTCAGCCCAAGTCTAAGTCTAGCCGCATAGATTAGACAGGAGCAGGTGAAGCTTTCATGCGAAGATGCAAGAGCAAGTCCTCGCCAACACGTTTGTGGATTCTTCGCAGAATACTGCATGCGTCCACGTGCAGGTACTTGGCAATGAGGAACTTCTTGCCTGGCATCTTTATCGGCAGGCAAAGACGGAGCGATTGCTACAGCGGTTCACGCAGCAGCCAAGTTGCATGCGATCAGGTCATTGCGGAAGAAGGATGTGTCGGCCTCATGAAACTTGATTGCCTGGAACAGCCTTTCCTCGACATTTTCCACCGAGATGGCCACTGATTCCAAATGCTTTTGGCACTTGTTTTTCAATCCGCACAAGGCATACTTCATTGAGGCCTCTGTGAGGACGTAAACGTTCTCCTCGGTAACGGTGGCCTCCGAAGCGGCAGACGGGAGAAGAAACGCCAGAAGAATGCTAAAGGTCGCATCGGTGATGTCCAGACGCAGCTCCTTAGTCAGACTCTCCTTGAAGTCCCCGGCCAAAGATACCTTCCAAACGTCAGAGCTCAGCGCGAGCACCACGGCTGGGACAAGGTAGGGTTCGTCCCGATCTTTGACCTTCACTTTGATCATCCCGTCCATGGCGGCCATGGATTCGAGCTTCTGAGCATGGTCCGCCATTGTTTCAGCGAGGCTACACGCCCAACCCGGGCTGAGCCCGAGACTTGCAGAAACATTGCAGGCTGAAGTTAGTTGGCGTTGAAGTCTGCTTGGTCAGCTTGTCTCCATGGTCTTGGGGAAAGGGCCGTGGCGCTGTGCTCGCTCTTATGCTGTCCTATGTCAAACTAACTGATGGTACTCTCTAATTGGACTGATGTGTCGCTGTATCAGGCAAGTCGCCTCGTGCTCAGACGAGATACCCTCAAAACCCTAAACCCTAAACCCTAAACCGGAATCCGACGGAATCTAAAACAACAGGCAACAAGTCCAAGATCCTGCCCTTCTCCTGAACCCAAAACTAGAACCCTAAGCCCCAAGTTCTCAGAAGTATCAACTGCGAGATGTCTGACCCAAAACCCTAAACCCCTAAACCCGAAAGCCCTAAACCCCCAAAACCCTCGGTGACCGATTTCCTGAATCCTCGAAATGATCGATAGCAATCCTCGACTGAGGCCAGCACGTCTTTCTTTACTAGAACATCCGCCCTGGCTCATCGCGGCTTAGGGTTTGGGGTTTAGGGTGCAGGGGTTTGGGGGGTAGGGGTTTAGGGGTTTAGGGTTTAGGCTTTAGGTGTTTAGGGTTCAGGTTCACTTTTAGGGGATTCGGAACTGCCTATCCCGATCGCCCTACCGTGACACACTCTCATTGGTGTTGCCTCACCCAGTGCCACAGCTGCACACATGTAAAACCAAACAGCATGGGTGGTTTATGCTGGTTGCGCCCGCAGTCGGTACAGCGACTATACAACCTGTGGACCCTCGTAGCTCGCGCACTAAGAATACCGTTGCTGCGCAGAGCCTCTGTACAGCATTGACTGGTATGCACAGTGCTAACAAGAAATAGTTGGTGACCCACTAACAACATAAAGCACCTGTTCAGTGTTTGCGCTTCCAAACAGTAAGATCGTCGCACATAAAAGGCCAGTGCAGAAGTTTCAGCCGTTCAACGCAAATGAAGTCAGAAGCCAGCTTCTGCTGGAAGGCACTTGATGATGTCCGACCAAACCTTTCTGTTTGCTTCGTTTGTCCCTCCCACTCGCCAACATACATCACCGTCTGTCCACCATAATGCCTCAAGCATTCGGCATCCCAGTGATCAGCACCTTGCTCAGGCGAGTATGGCCACACCAGCAGTAAGGCACGGTCTTCGTGCTTTGAAAGAACACTAGGCTCGCCCTGCTTAACGTCTGCGAAGGTCTCACAAAAGAAGGGATTCGAAAGCTCATGGATAGGAGGCCGGATGTCGTAGGCTATGACATCACAGCCTGCCATGCCCAGGTGTACAGCCCAGTAGCCACTGCCAGCACCCATTTCAACTACCGGCGAGTAACGTGAAATGCAATCCAAGGCAGTTTTGTCTGGGATTGCAAAAGCAAAGAGCTTTGTCAATGGCTCGTATATCAACTGTCGGAAAGGGACTTCCTTCGCACAGAGCTTGCCTCGTTGTTGGGAGTGAACCAGAGGAAGCTTGGCCGATATGGCAATCATGGTCATGGCATCATGTTCATTGATCTCGCCGGCGTCACTCCACTGCTTTTTCATCACATCTGGCATCATGTCCTCAACAAGTTGCTTGTGCAACACAAGGAGTGGATTGCTTCCGGAGCGAACTGCAGCCTGTGCCGTGCAAGGAAGATTACACAACTGAAGCAGGACTGCAAGCACATCTCGCAAATGCTGGACAGCTGCCAACGATTCTTTGATGCCAGTGGAAAGTGCCTTGTCGCCAGATTGATTGTGAACTTCTCTGAGTTCATTGCCCAGTAGCTCAGACCAAGCGCATGCCTTCAAACTCTCCCGTTCTGTTGGCCAACCACGAGATGAGGCTGCGGCTGCTTGAACGAATGCCGCCAGTTGATTACTGTTGGGGTGCAAACACTTGATGATCGAGCACGCTGTATCTGCTGAGAGGTACAAGTAGCATCTAAACTCAGCGCCATGCTCCAAGAGACAAGCGGCCAAGCCCTTGTTTGCTGACATGCAGGCCAGGATCAAAGCTGTTTGCCCGCCATGGGCTTGATGATTGACATCTGCTCGGTGCAACAGCAAGAACTCAGCAACTGGCACCTGATGAAGCTCCGTTCTCCCGCTGGTAATCTCATCCTTCAGGGCACAAGCAGTCAGCAACGCCGTCCAGCCATCTTCATCTTGTGCGTTTATGGATGCCCCTGCGGCCAGAAGCAGCTTGCACGTCTCAACATCCAGACTCTTGGCTGCAGACATGAGGGGAGTTCTTGCAAGCTCATTACGCTGGTGCGGCTGAGATCGATGTTGTAGCAAAAGCTTGACCAATGACGTGCCCGCCAAATCGCACGCCAGCTTCAATGCACTTACCATGCCTGGAAACTCACCATGGTCCGGATCTCTCTCATCAACCCGGAACACCTCGGCGTCCAACAGCATCACTACTTGCTCCCTGGCTTCTGCAGACCCCTTTGCAGCTTCCACGACCAGTACGAAGAATGCAGAGATCTTTAGGTCTTTCCGTGCTGAGTGGAGTGAAATGTCCAAGCTTGTCATCAAAGTTTCGAGACCTGGCACGGAAATTCCTTGGTCGTTCGCTCTCAGTGCTGCATCGCGTGCCTTCGCATTCTCGCCTAACCCTTTGAATGCCAAGGCCATCCGACAAAGAGCTTTGGCCCGAATCGCAGGAGTGGCGTAGCCGAGATGAGATGGGATCTCATCGATGATTGCCAAACAGTCTGTCAGAGCATCTTTATAGCACCTCATCGCCACGAAGCACTGGGCACGATTCGCAAGAAGAACCGCATGAAACCGCCCACTGTCTGGACCAAAGGGAGATATACCCCGCACAGTCTCAACTGCGCTAGTATACTGCTGTACTGCAGCTTGCATGTCTCCGGATCGGAAAGCAAGGTTCCCCGCGTTCTTGATGGGTTCTAGCTCTTTGCATAGACTCTGCTCTGCCTCGAGCCTTTTCAACAAGCCAAAACTGGGAAGCTTGGCAGGGGTCAAGCCGAACTTCTTTGCTTCTCGAAGATTTGTCGTGTCAGCCATGGCGTCGCGTGCGAACAGCTGCATACTGGTGAAGCGGGAAACTGAGCTGCCTGGAGTGGATCTATAGGTTGGGCCAGTTCAGCGACTCACCATGACTGCGATTACGACCAATGATTGTAATGATTGTAATGGTAG